CATAATAAAAAAAATTTTTTTATTTTCTCACATAGAAGTCAGAAGACAGTAGGTAAGCTACTTTACAAGCAGATTTTTCTTCTCCCTTCAAATGCATTCAAAAATAGTTCCCTCAAAAGCATGCAATTTTTCAGTTTAGAAACCCATTCCTATTTCCTCTACCAGTCAAGACTCAAAAGCTATGAAGTCAATGTGCTGAAAAAACAGGCTTTTCACTCTATTGAGCAAGGCTAAGGACTTTCCAAAAATGATGTTTTGCTAAAAATAACAATGGGTGGAAGTGTATCTCAAGTTAGACTCAGTAATAAAATTATTTCCATAGTAAGTAGAGGATAGTCGTTTCTCCTGTAAATCACCTACCGTGTTTTTTTCACAGTGATGTTGCTACTAAGTTTCTCTAGGCGACATTCTCCTGTGTCATGGTTGATAATTAAGATACACTCTTTTAGGTAAGGCTTCTTTGAGCCCTTGAAAACAGTCACTGGTGGAGTTGAGCCCTATTAAGTCAGGAGAGTCCAATCAGTGTTACTGCAGTAATCTTTTCCTTATAAACAGAACACAATCCATCACAGCAATGACAAGTTCATTATAATTGATCATTTCTAGCCTTTAAAAATTTGTCATTAGTTAATTCAAATTAGATTCGTGCTAACCATGACTAAAAGTAGCTGGTGACTAACTTGGACAGGATTTCACCTAGCTTAGTTGGAAACTGATTAAATGCTTATTTCCAATTGAGAGGCACGCTCACCGCAGGACTCCTTTCGCCAAAAGGGGTTTCAGTTACAGTATCAGCAGAGCGGCGAAGGATGGCAGGCAATAAATTTTCCCCTTTCCAGTCTTTCCCATTTTAGAACTGCACTAAATACCAAGGGAAAACTTGCACTGCCAACATCCACATGGAGCTTTTCTATGTACACAACACTCCAGGGTCATCCTACAGCATATTTCCAATACAGTGAATACATTTAAAGTCACAGCACAATTGTTTAACATTTAAATCTTTTGTAATTTCAAATTTTTAGAGCAATTGCTGTTATATACTTTAAAGATTACAAAGGCAGCTCTGAAACAGCACTGAAACTTCATGCCCTTCTGTATTGAATATATCCTTATAACAACAAAATAAGTCATTTCCTTATGCCAACTACTCTTCAGCCAGCTAACTCACCTCAATATTTGGCAGTGTTATTGTCACCTGTTCACCTTTGCCAACTTCAAGGTCTCCTTCACAGGATGTATCAATAGATGCCGGCTTAAAGTCATCTTAAAAAAAAAAAAACACAACTGGATTATCTACAGGCTTTTCAGGGATCTTTTAAACACCAGCACATTTTGGATAACATCAAAGCTGTGAAGTTGACGGCTATTAAGTTATAGCTTTTTTTCGCTAGCATATTATCTACCATCCCCTAGATCAGATTATTCCACAAATCAGTAGAGTTCAAAGTCAATATCCAGTCTAAGTGTTAACATCTTCTGGTAAAAACTAAAAAAGCACTTTTAGCTTTTAATGGATAAGGAGACTGAACTAGTTGTGTTACACTTAAAAGACAGAAAACCCTCACATTACTAGTTTCAGAAAAACAAGAAACAATTCTTGATATAATTTCAGTCCAAACATGGAAGATGTAGAAAAGTAACTGAAAATGCAAAGCACAACATGGATCCCCAATATTTGACTACAGCATCCATTGCAGATTACTATAATAGGCACATCAGAAGCCTACCAAGACTTCTGTTCCATTTTTTGACCAAAATAATAATACTGTAATTACTCCCCAAATAAATATTCATTTCCTTTTTTTAAAATCTTTTTCAACATCTAAAGTATCCCTTAAAATAAGCTTTAAACAAAAGAAGAGATCAGTTTCTGGTCCTTTTCAGAAATCTGAGACACGAAAAACGAACATCCATTCCAGCATCAGCATTGTAACTACGTAACATATCACTACCTCTGAGGTATTACTTCCACTACAGAAGAATTAGGTTATGAAAGACCAGCATGCACAGAGCTAGGCAAGGGTAAGACAGCATCAAGAGGCTTTGCCAGGCATCGTAAAATACGTTTGAAACGTGGTTCCAGCAAGCTGGCACAGGGCCAGTCACACCAGAGGACGACTAGGAGTACCTTGAGTAGCATGCTGGAGAGACAACCTGCTACAGCTGGAGAGACACAGAGGAACTAGGCATGTAAAGGGAACCCATAGACAGCGCCGTCCCCAGCTGCAGCACAGCACACTCTCTGCCACACAACCTGTCGCTCCATGCGCTGCTGGTCCCAGGCTGCAGCCCTCTGTTACAACTGGGGAGCTTCCCAGTTAAACAATCCTGCTTGTAACCCACTGGCCAGTTGGCACAGACCACAGCTTAGGAAGCACAGCTCCAACTAATACACCAGCTGGTCAAAAAAAAACAACCTTCCAGAGCTGGTGGCAAGGAATATGCACGTAGCAAAATGGTTTGAGCTTAGGACACTGGTAACAGCCCACACTAACCTAATGTTGAAGACAAAACCCGAAACAGGGTCTTACAAGGATAAGCATAAGACAGTTGGAGTTTCTCATAGGGAAATAGAGAAGATCTTTGCCTTTAAATATAGCCACCAGGTGGTCAAAACTTTAGAAAACTGAAATACCGATTTCAGTGTCCACATGTGCACTTCAAATCTTAACTTTTAACCAGCAGATGTCTGCCTCTTCACTCATCTGTAACAAAAGACTCAGGTGTTCGAGAAAGATATTTATGTATGTGCCTTTGACAGCACTGACAGATGTGCCAGTTTCTGTCTCATTTGTTGGCCTAAAAGAGAGATTTCAAAACAGGTTTCAGAATAAATCATCAGATTACAAGAGTCAGCAAGAAATCTTAAGGGTAGGAGGTATCCAAAGAGATTTTAGTCCTCTTTGAAATAGGGTAAATTTCAAGTTACCACATTTGTTTAAACCCACTTATAGCTTTTGCCCCTTCCCTTCCCTCCCACAGTTGCAGACCATTCTGCCGAGCGCCATTTGTGTTTGCTCACAGAAAGCACATTACCCATCTCACTGCACTGTATGAGAGCATACAGGACGTTATCCAGAGAATATACAGGAGACTGAACCTTGGAGATCAGTCTATAAATAATGAGACATCAAAAACAGAAGCAGCAGTTCTAAATTACCAGAACTATAATCCTAAGAGCATTTGTTTCCTAGCTACCCTCAGAATCTTTGAGCACACACCTCCCTAGATAATAATTATGTACTCAGGGAGGGTATTCTAGCTTTGTGATTAATACTGCCTTTAACCTTTGATTGCTGGATTTCTACTGAGTGCCTGAAAACTAAGCACAAGGGAATAGCACAAAGCCAGAGCTTCAGCCCCATTCAGTTTTGGGCAGAACTGCATCAAGGCACCATTGCAGGTGCAAAAAGAAGCATAACAAGTTGGTGCCCTGAAAGAAGTGAGGAACAGTATTTGCACACCACAGCAGTACACCTCACCAGCAACACGCTTGCTTGCTGGTCTAGCTCCAGGGCCCTCTGGAGCAACAGAAACCTGAGCAGCACCGCACTGCTCAGGACCCTGGACTAAGACCTAAGCAGCAGGGACTCTGCTCCCAGGTGTGCCTCAGGGCCTGCAGATAAACTCGGGCGAGTCACTTCAGCTTTCTGGGCCTTAGCTACAGCTCTCTTGTATTTCAGCTGCCCACTTCTGCCGCACTCCCGGTACAACCTGTCTACTTAAAAGATAAGCTCCTCGAGGGAAAGCGTTTCCTCCTGCTCGGCTGCACAACGCCTACCTCAGCGGGCCCCAGCGCCGGCACCACAACACAGACAAACACCGGAGTTTCACCGCACCCGGCGCCGCCGGATGGCC